TACTCAGGAGGCGATCATGATCAAGCTCGAGCGCGCTCAGTGTCTCTTGCAGTTGTTTCGCGGCTTGCTGGGCCTGAGAACGAGCTCTCTTGTACTTGGATGCCTTGCTTTTCATGCGTCGAAAGTCAGCGGCCAAAGCACTGTCTGCTGTATTACGCTGTGCGAGGATGGAGTCCAGTTGCTGTTGGAGGGACGCGATCTGCTGCCGGAATTTTCCTTCCAGAGTTCGCTGAAGATTGGCCGCCTCACGGCGGAATTTATCCTGCAGGCGATGTTTCTCTGCATTGGCTCGAAACAAGGCATTCTTCAGATCGGCGATCTCCTGAGACTGATCCGTTAGCTGGTTCAGTTCTTCGTCGAGACCTTCGGCCATGTGGAGAGCGGCATCAAGTTGTTGACGCAACTCTTCATCTCGACGCAAGACGAATGTGCACAGTCGAGGCACCAACTCGTGATACGAGTTGAGTTCCGTCTCCAGCTGATTTCCACGAAATTCCTGCTCCTGCAAGGCATTTTCCATGGAGTGATAGCTTTCCACGATGGTATCCTGGGCTTCCAGGCGGTCATACAATGAAGAAACCAACGAGATCGCGTTCTGACGATCTGCAACGGGAGGAAGGATTATCCGGGTAGACGGGAGCAAGATACGCGATCCGGTAGAGGAACCCATCGTTGGATCGCGCGTAACGAGCACACCAGTTTGGGGGTGGCGATCGTTTTCGGGTGTAGATCTGGCCATAAGGGACGAAGTGACGAGAAGAGTGAAGCGAGACAGTGCACAGTTAGGCCAACACTGTATGTGGGCTATCGGTGCAGGGGACGATTGTGGCGAAGTGAAAGAGTGAATTTCGCCAAGTGTGATCGCATATTTTCGGTTAAGTCCGAAATGACCAATATTAATGAGTCGCGATCTCGTGGCCAATATTGATGAGTCGCGATCTCGCAGAAAGGTTTCAAGACGATGTCAAATAGGATGGAAAACAGTGAATGGAGTAGTTTGCACTTCTATGTGGGGTCAAATATGGCCTAGAAACTACGCTATTGCGATCTCCAGTATTTCCGATGGCGATCCGCGTGAACGCGGTCGCTAAGGAGGAAGATGGGTACATCCAAGCATGTGGAGGACGGTCTGGTGTGGATCACGTCGCTATGGAGGACTGGAATGGTGGATATGAAATGTCACATTGATGAACTATCTCACATGACCTGAGAAACGGTGAAGAAGACAAGTCGTGATCCGGCGGATCGCGATCCGATATTAATTATTTAGTACCGCGATCTGGTATTAATTATTTAGTACCGCGATCTGGTACTAATTATTTAGTACCGCGATCTGGTACTAATTATTTAGTACCGCGATCTGGTACTAATTATTTAGTACCGCGATCTGGTACTAAAATGGTATTATATCCGAGTGAGGTAGCGATCCAGATCGCGGCTATATTGGAGTGGACCACATTCCGAGATCTGATTTTTTCCGAAAGGGCGATACATGGCAACAGATCCTGAGCTACAGATAGTCAAGATCATAGGTTTTGGTATTTGATTGGTTAACATTAACAGAGTTCAATTTGCTTCTAAGTACACGTGTCGACTTCTCTTCCGGGCTGGATTCTTTGGCCTCCCGACGTCTCAAGGAAGTCTACATACTACGCAAGTCATATCCCTGGATTGTTTGGCCAGGGATTACAAGAACTCTCAACAAAACAACTCAAGCTGCGATTGGACGCAGAGGACTAAGAATTCCAGATACAAGATCGCGAGACGGCTCAAGTGGTCAGAAGGCAAGCGGATCAAGTATCTACATTTTTGGACAAGGCGATCTCAAGGGAGATCAGGGCGACTCAAACAGAGCACCCCAAGAACAACTGCGATCGTGTGAGGAATTCCACGCGATCGCCCCCCCCCACCTATCCCTAACACAATCAAGTTCAACATCGACTCAAGTCTACCGAGAAGAGAGCAACCCGCCCTACCGACGGGTACACAAGGTGAGGAAGGCTATACACACGGAATCGGGGTACCCCCTCCGTTAGTCGGTCGTCCGGGCGCCAGTGGAGAGTTGGGATCGCATCAGCAATTTTGCGAATCCCACTCCACCACACGGTCAACATATTTGAGCCTACGACCATCTAGCGGTTGGTGTCGAACAAAGTTGTTCGAAGCCCCACAATCAACTAGGGCGCGAAGTGACATGTTCTTTGTCACTTCGATCTTCAAGGTGATGAGGAATACCTCATCACAGGGAGCGGCAACACACAGTGACTGTGTGTTGGGAGCAACCTTCGTCAGGGGTCCCGCGAGCTCTTTTGACGTTGCTGGATCAGTAGGGCGCTCCGCCCTTACTGACTCCGACCGTTATTCTATGTTCCACCACGTTGTTGCGATTTCGCAGCAACGTGGGACCCACGTCTCTGGCCCTTCTTGGCAGACGGTCGATCGTCGCTCCCAGTGTTACGAGACACTGGGCGTGGGGCACTACACTCATAAGCGTAGTGGCCCAACTTCTGACAGCGATTGCACTTTTGCAATCGCTTGTATCCTAGAGAGCGAGGTCGCTCGTTCTCTACATAGGAGAGGTCCATTGGTTCTGGACCTCCGCCCTCCTGTCGTCTCGGTGGACGATAGGATCCCGAGTGGACGTGAGCCTGCTGTAGGCTAAAGTCCTCCTGTTCCGCTGCAGAGATCGCTTGGTCCAGCGATTCTAGTTCCAAGCGGAACAGGTGGGTCTTGACAGGACCATCTGTCAGACCTTTGATGAACACAGTAACCTGCGTGTGTTCATCGATCGGGTTCAGTACGATACAGCTAACGAGGTATCGTACGTGTTGGGCGTAAGCGTGTATATCACTCTTACTCTGTTTCAAATCCAGGAGCTCATCCCGAGCCCTGAATTCGGCGCGAGGCGGTTCAAACGTGTGTTTGAGCCGCGCCTTGAAGACGTCACACGTTGGGAAACGTATGGGTCGTGCAGTTTGAGCCCTAAGGCCCAAGCTTTGGCACGTCCTGCCAAGTTCGCCATGTCAAACTTGACCTTCATCGCATCGTCATCGATGCGACGAGCCTCAATGGCATCGTCGAGCTCGACGAACCATCTTAACGAGGAGTCGCTTTCGACTGACTTGTACTTGGAGACATCAATCTTCAAGGACTCGGGTCGACGTGTATGCGTCGACCCGGCAGCAACAGCACTAGCCTGCTGTTTTCTCAACAGTTTAGACTGTTGAGCACCCTGCTGCATCAACAAGTCAGCTTGTTGAGCGCCATGTTCTCTCAACAGGTCAACCTGTTGAGAACCTTGCTGCTGTAGCAAGGTGAGTTTCTTTATGACTTCGTCACGCTCATGTTATATGAACTTGGCGATGGTTGCATGTTGGTCGCCTCCGCTAAGAGAGAGCAACATGGCACCAACGGCAGGGTTGCCGATGGTTTCAGCCATACGCTGAACCGCATTCCATTCGAGGTCACTCAAATGGCGGATATCATCACGCGTTGCGTGATGACGTTCATCACCCGCTGATTCCATAGCGGATGGTGCGGTGATCGCTGAACGGACCACGAAGTGCTACTAGGTGTAATGGGGCATCCTCCGACTATACTGATTACAGTATAGTCTACTTTCACTGATGACAGTGAAAGCAGGTGCCTCAATTACCTCTCTTACACAAGAGGCAGAGGAAGCTTTAGTTCTAAACGATACGCTTATAAGTAGGGAATAAAAGAACTGTATTTAATATAGTTAAGTATCGAATAAAACTAATCTGTTATAACCTATGTTTAACTATATTATACTACAACTATGTATGTTGACAACTTGCCCTCCACTCATTGCGCGCGTCCATCGGTCATTGGTCAGCGCGTTGGTTGATATGATAACCCACATCAACCAATGAGAGGGCATCTCCAACTTTAAGGAGATCTAGGGACAATATTATAAGAAAAGATAATGTCAAATATTATTAGTTATAATAATATTTTTATTGACACTTCATATGAGTGTCAATATTATGTAAAGGGCTCACCCCGTTACAGATGATATATGTAACAGGGCACCCTCCAATTATACTGACACAGTATAATCTATGTACATATAGGCAGGTGTCAAATTTTTCACTTATGAAAGTGTAGGCATGCGTCTCGAATATTACGTACATGAGGTCAGCAGAGGAAGCTTTACTTCGAAACAAATACGCTTACAAATAGGGAAAAAAAGAACTCTATATTATATTGTTAAACTATCTAAATAAGACTTATCTATTATAACTTATTTAAGTATATATAACTACAAATGTGTATGTTGACTACTTGCCCTCCACTCATTGCGCGCGTCTATCCTTCGTTGGTCATCGCTTGGGTTAGTATAATAGTCTATAAAAACCAATGCAAGGAGAATATTATATGAATAAATAGTATTGTCGAATACTATTAATTAAATTCATATCTTAATTGGCACTTGATATAAGTGTTAATAGGTAGCTGACTCATCCCGTTACAATTTAGGGGTGTACGCCTCACAGAAACCAATATTACAAGCTTATTGAGAGTAGACGGAAGGCGAGGAAAAAAATCAATCATTTTTTCAGACTTAAGAAGCAATAGGCCTCGCAGATCGGAAGCAAAATGTTTTTGGCTCCCATACATTTATATAACTGCAACGAGGCTCCGAGATTAAGACTACATTATTCTAAATCAACCTCTTGTACTTCATACCTCAAACACGATTAAATTGGTTCATGTGTTTACATACTGCGTAGAAGAAGATTTAAGCTGTCAATACATGTATCGGTAATTGTCCTGTCAGTCGACAACTCTTATCAGCTACAATTTTGTTTATTTTTTTCCCTCATTCAGCTGTTCTGGAAGAGCTGTCGATATGTTTTATGTGCCAATTGGTCGACGCTACGAAGGAAAAAAGCCAGTCGAGTTGATGCAGTTGTTGGTTCTCACTTCGCTATTCGCTTCCAGACTCCCAGAACTTTATCAAAGATATTTTTTCAAGCATGATGGCCAACCCCAACTCAAACCTGCCAAAGCGTCTGCAGTGGTACATAGTGCTAACAGCGCTGACATGCGTCAGTGCTAGTCCAAGTGCTATGAAGTCAAAGACCATTTTTGCTGGTTCTGCTTCTCTGAAGCAACCACTTGGTGTCGTCGGCCAAAGCGATGCGCGAGTGAAGCGGTATTTGAGAAGAAATTCGGATGCGACGGAGAGCATGGACGACGAACACGAAGACAGAGTTATGGACCTAGCCGCCATAGACCAAGGTGTATTAGCAAGCGCCACCAAATCGGTCGATGCTGTCAACCCAGTAGTATCCGTTATAGACCAAGGGTTTTCAACAAAGGTCAGCGAATCGGTCAAGAAGACGGTTGCTTACGTACCAAATAATATGGGCGAAGCTCGCAAAATGCTCGAGAAGGATATTGGTAACCAGATCGAATTTTACAGGAGCCAGGCAAATTTGTTTATGAGTGACAAATTTGCGAAGTGGTCCAAGTCTGTGGACGAAGTGTACAAAAACAAATTTGTTAGAAGAACAAATGGTAAAACATGGGCTTAAGTAGCTTTGTGGGCTGAAGAAGCTAAGGTTACAACGCTCTTAAGTATATTCAAGCAGGACGTTGTAATCAGGATGCTAGCGGCCGGAAGAAAAGAACCAACTACGCAAGAAATCGCCAACGATTTAGAGCTCGGTCTACTGAGAAAGTGGATTAAAGATGGGAATGAGGACAACATTCTGAATCTGCTAATATTTAGCAAGGATAAGAGCAAAGTTTTGAAGAGAACGTGTCTGCAACCATGGTTCAATTATTTGACAAATCAGAAAAGAAATCCATACGAGCTGTTTGTCGCGCATGCTATGAAGCGCTACAGTGACCAAGAGATAGTAGAAATGCTTGCGGCGGAAGACAACCCTCGGACCAAGACAATAGCAACTAAATTGGTGAAGCAGTTCTGGGAAAAGAGTGATACAGGTGTGAGCGGCAGCTTTGATCTTCTTAAACTCAACAAAGAACAGCCAGATACGGTTTTGAGAAGTCCGATTCTTAGAACGTGGATCAATTACGTTGAATTGCTGGGATCGGATCCATATAAAGTGTTACTTTTGACGATGAGGAAGCAAGTGGGTGACAAAAAGCTATACTCGATTCTTACTGCGGGTGGCAATAAGCTAGATTCGATTCTTGCTATGGCAAAGAATACGAATATTCGGCGGACCTTACTACATATGCAAGAGAAGCGCCTACAGGAATATCCACAGATGAAGAAGTGGCGGAAGAATGGGAAAAGTGTCGGCGATGTATTCGATCTTCTGAAGCTCCAAGATAAAGGCAAAGAGATGCTTGGAACTAAAGATTGGGACGCATGGGTTGCGTATGTAACTTTTTTGGAAGAGCAAAAACAACCAACAGATCAAAGAGAGATCGCAACGGTTATATATGCAGTGCTGAAGAATCGATTTAGCAGCAAAGGTCTAGCCAAGTTGGTCGCCACAGCCAAAACTGTCGAGAGTACCAAGGAAATTGCCGGAAAATGGAAGCGTAGCGAGTGGCGGATTGCTCAGCGAACTCCGGACGACGTTTTCAATCTTTTGAAGCTAAAGGAGAAGGGGAATGCGGTATTTGAGAGTCCGGAATTCGAAAACTGGGCCTTATATGTCATAGAATTGAACAGGGGCAGAAATCGCGAAGACGACGTTGAGCTTGCTTTGCAGCTAACCAGACACTATGGTCGTCATGTGATAAAAATGCTCAAGCAATCAGAAATGACGGCCAGTGCGAAAAACGACGAAGATACGAAGTTAATCGTCGGGATGTTGCTCGATGTGATTGAGAGGTAGAAGGGACTCAAGGAGAAGGAACTCGTGTTGAAGATTATAACAAAGCTTTGAAACAAGGTACGCAAACCGTGCGTCCACATACAAGCTCTTTTGCTCCGGTAAACAAGCTTCTAAACGAAGAAAATGCTGGAGAATTCTTAGTCGAAATTGAAGTTGGTGTGATTAAGCGCCGATACCAGAACAGAACAATGAGGTAATCTTGATCAATGTGAATCTACGTCTTTTCAATTGCCTTCTTTTCTCAATGCCTTGAGCGTTTCTTTACATGCGAATTGTAGTGTCTTCAGATGCGAATATACAAACTTGCCATTTCAGGGTTTTCTTGCAGTCGTTTGTCTACGTCACAAATGTGGCCAGGAGCAAATTCCGGAGTCTCGAATACCTTACCCCCTTCTGAAGTTTGACCAATGGTCCAACACACGCTCCTATTATATTTTGCGGCAACATTCCTTGGTCCTTGCAACAGTTTGAGCGGTAGCAACCAGCTCTACCCGATCTTCGTCGCGATTTATCAGCAGTGAGAATCGTTACGTTGCAGTGTATCTTGGAGATCAAGTTCGCTTTTCCAGTATGGTCGTATGAAAGAATCTTGTGTTCCATAGTGAACTTCTGAACATCCTTTCTTCGGTGACCATCAGCACGAGATTATCGTCACAAGTTTTTAGGCTCTCGACGACTTCTCCAGCTGTTTATTCTCCGTGTTCTTTCCAATGTTGCATTGCGTACTCAGCACTAGACTTTTACAAGCAAAAATAGGTCTGCTTCCTTGAGTTGAAGAGTCAAACGATATCAATCTCATGTTCAGACACTTCTGCAGCCGAGCTTTTCCAATTTAGCTACAATTTTATACGCAGCAACGTCGCTTTCGTCACCCACACCGTTTTGCGAGCTCTTCGTCGTTGCATTGTGTCACAGTTTGCGAGCAACAACTTCAGTAACGGACGTTTTATTACTCCTGCTAAGCATCTGGCGGACGCTATCGAAGTCGACTGCCGAGTGATCATGTCGAACTATTCTGTGAACATAATTTGCCTAATCGATGCGACCAACCTGCATCTTGGCGACGTTTCTTCACACCACTCGCGACGAATGGTCGTTAATTTATCCACTTTTAGCTAAATTGATGACATTGCTCGAGCATATCGACATTAAAATTAGCATCAAAAAATTAGAGTTGGCACCATTAGCACTGCATTCTAGCCGACCAGCTCGTTCGAAGTTTGGGTTTCCAGCACTTTATAGCGTCTTGATATTGTTTTAAGCACTATGTTGTCGGCACCAAGAGACTTTTTCGCATACGAGGATGAACATCCACAGCACGTGATGCCAAGTAACTCCTTGATGACGTATACGGACACTTCGGCATGACTAAAGTTTAGCTAATCAATGCCCAGCACAAGCTATTTTGTAAACGCGAATGGACCATTCTATTCGTCACGCTTTTTCCTAAGGGACACTCCATTCAAGAAACTTCTATGAAGTGTTCTGCGGACGCTATCATAGTCGATTCACTCGAGTGATCAAGTCTGGAAGGAAATCTACCAGCGAAGCTCATATTAATGGAAATAAGGCAATAAAAGGTCAAAGACATTCGGCCACTTGATAAAAGCCTCATTAAAGCACCACCTGACACGTCTGTCATTTTCATTTAATTGAGTCTTGACGTGTAAATCAAATTGACGGATGGATCTGCGTAATTGACGCTACACTGATCGCATGTAGTGAGGAGGTCTAGAAACAGCGAAAGCTTCTGTCTATACTAAACAAGATGTATACTAATATATATATATATTAATACAGACAATAGCACTTACCCGCTAAAATAATACCATGAAAATTCACAATTTTAGACATATTCTGTGAAGTAAAATTTGCTATATATGCTACTGCCTACACTGATAACCTTTCTTAACTGTTAGATTATTGTGATCGTGACTAAATGTACATACATGTATCATAGCTGGTAAACCTCTTTTGAAGTAACCTTTGTGAACCAATATATGCATGTGGTTATAAGGATACCATCATTTGTTGAGTGGTCTACAAGTCTCGAGAACACACTTGCCATGTTGTACAATCTTTAGCTTTGCATCACTTCCAGATGCTCCCCATATCCTCCTGTCAATGGGAAGGGTTGCATCAGCGGCTGGCTCTGAACTTTACAGAGTGTCTACTGTCTGCCATGGAGCACTGTTAGAATCACAAGTCGATGGACAAGTGGTCAAAGTGAAGGGACATGTGGGTGTCATATACTTGTAGTACTTTCCAAGAGACTTTAATTTCTTGTCGTATTTCCTAAACCACCATCGTAGCTGGCAGTATGTAATTCTGTGGCTGAGCAGTTCTTCTGACACTGTGAAGCTGTTGTCGGTGACGCCGGAGTCTTCTCGTGACCACTTCTCGGCCTACAGCCTCTTTAACAATTACAAAATATGAGGAAGCCACGTCAAGCTCAAGTACATTCTTGGCGATTACAAACTCCGCATTATCTGACGCTTACAGACAAGGCCTGAAAGTATCAAGATCTAATCATATGCGACGACATCGGATGCAGCGCGCGAGGCACTGGCTTAAAAAAAGGAAATTTGGGTCCAAAGCACCGATTAGTACCGACAGCTATACAATATTTGTTTCAATGGCCTATTCTTTCAATAAGCCCAAGTTATTCATTGTTAGGCATGTGTGTAACAAAACACTGAGGGGTCTTCCAACAACGGCACTTTCCTTTCTTTTTACGAAACGATTCATAGTGACGTGTGTTTTTAAGATGATATGGCCGATGGCACGATCCTGAAGCAACAACGATACACAATTGTTAAAAAGTTTATAGGTGAATACGAGAATAGTTAACGTTAGCCACGAGCTGTGGCGGTTTGTTTAGGCTTCCCACAGGTACAGTATGCTGATATGAGGCTGGAAATGCCAACATCTATGTTTATCCAGCTTCAAAATGAAGCCTAACAGTTGTTTATATGCAAAAATCCATGTCCTTGAAGGCAGCGTCCTTGTGCAAGACTGTGAATCGAATAGACATATTGGAAGTATTAATTCGCCATGTAGATAGCAATTGAGATTGAATTTGGGTGTAGTAATTGCTTGTCCTCACACTATGATGAACATACCAACGAAACATGTGCCATAATCAACAACATAGGTCGTGTTCTCGCGTGCTGGCCACTTAAGAAGTAATCGAAAAGTTAACTGAAGAGTGTTGGATAGCTCCGACATCGGCGGCAATACCCTCTGGCAAATTGTGAATACCACTAGTAAGCACACGCCTCACGTCTATGCGTTGCAAAGCCATCTAGAATACTGAATGGTTGGCTCCACACCCACAACAGACCCATATTCTATACAAGGTACTGACGTCTTGTGTTTCCTCGAGGTGCATTAAAAATATAGCATCGATCTGCGGACACCTTCACGATTTTCACTCTGCCATTTCGTGTACAGATAAAATCGTGTGTACGATTATGGCAATAAGATGGATGTAGTATGATACCGACTGCTAACCAACACGTAGCCAGCCGTGGCCAGTTGCAGTTCCCTTCATCATGTCTTCTGTTTGAATGCCTTTCATGAGTAAGTGCACCGCATGATAAAAAAACTCTACCAACGAGATGAACATTACGACCCAATCGCCAATTCCACTGGGCTGGCACGTAAACGAGACGCCTACCATGCCAGCATCAGAATTGTAGCAACTGCAGCGGCGATGTTGAGTGCGAAAGCAATATTGACATCATGTTTTGTTTATATACTGACTTAGAAAATGCTTAAGGGTTTGATACATGTTCATACTCCTAGTATGCTCATTGTAGAAAATAAAGTGGCGAATCTAACGACCAGCAACCGCGATAACTACACGCAACATATTCTAACACAACTATCGGTATCAAAATGGTACTTTGTCGTCCATATTGAAACACAACTTATGTAAGTTGATCTTTTGACGTAAACAATTTTCATTGGTGCGAGACACCATGCCTCACTCAACAGATCCACCTCAAGTCATTGGCCTATTTGCGTGCACCGATTAGAATTTAACAGCATCGGCTCTACTCATGGACAGAAACGCTTGAAACATGTCTGATTCTGAAAATTCTTATAAGTTTATCTGAACAAATCCATCGCAACTAATATTTCGTCTGATCCATAAGGACAAATGTCCTTGACGTTAAACTCCTACCCAGTGGGTCTTGTTAATTGCTCCCGATTCACTCGTCACATGGCTGCTTTTCTTCGTGCCCCACAACTTATATGCCAGATTTAGCTAACTTCTATTGCATTGTAGTTGTGGATATAAAAGTTGCACAATTGAGCAGACGTCATTGTCACATTAGAGCCCGTACAACCACGAATCTGGTTGCAAAAGCACTGTTGAAGCCGAGTATTCGACAGTGATTTGCAATCGGATTCGTGGTTGTCTTTGACCTTGACTGGTTAGATATGTACACGTCGGATAAATATAGCTTACGAGTCTGCAGCACTTGCCTCTACAGCTTTTCTGTCACAATTATATTATCTTCTTTGGTCGCATGTGGCACTCCACCCTCCTTCTACTCCTTCTTGCCTGCGTCTGTACGGCGCAGAGTGTCTCAAAAACTTCGAGCGGCAGTGATATTGACGCTTCTTCCAAGAACAAAAGGAACAGCGATATTTACAATGTTTGCCCTGTCATTGTCGAATTCAGCAAGGAGCAGGAGAACCTCTCTGAGGAGGAGTTAAAGGCTAATGCTGCTGACGCAGCCATGTCAGCATTCCTACTAAGCCATCCCAATTATACACTTTGGGATTACTTTAAGATTGAAGAACATCAGAAGCAAGTGATGTTCAATAATTTGCGGCTGCCGGATAGAATCAAGACCTTAGTGAAATCTTTTGTCGACTTCACGGCTGACACCGCCATCAATATTGCGCATATGGCGGCTGACGCAGTCTCATGGATCATCAACACCATCCGCAGTCCTCTTGTTGGAGTTCGACAAATAATAGATTTCTTTGTGGATTTCGGCCGCAACATCAAAATGTTGTGGAAGATGATGCTGAAGGACCCCAAAAATACGGCTGCGAACATGGGCGGAGGATTTTTACTTCACATTTCGCACCACCCCTCAGAGTTTACTGCTGAGACCGTGTTGCTAGTCGGTACCGGATTTGCAGTAATCCATGGCCTTATCCATGGCGTCGAAGCTATCTTCGGAACGCTAAGCGACGCCGTTTCCCGAGTACTCATGTCCGTGCTAATGTTTATACACGCTATCGACGACCCGATTCTTATTGTCACGCCTCTGATCACCTCCGTTGTGAAAACGGCCGGAGCAATCAGCCAGGGTGGTAACTCCACTGATCACGCACTGACACTCACGCCATATCCAATTAAGCCTTTGAAGTCGTGTCAAATTCCCAAGCAGTATCGACCAGAAATTTCGACCCGAGACTTGTGCCTTAGCAATCACAGAGAAGTTCGCCAGCTGCTGTTCGGAACGGCTAAGCGAAGTGCTAAGATGACCCATGAGGAGATGGTTGCCGCATACAACCACTTCCACGACTTCGTGTGCTGCTTCCTCGAGGACCAGGAGTTCGAGGTGAATGCACCTGACATGAAATCCACATCTTTCAAGACTGAACTCATTCCCACTCCCGTCAAGATGGCTAATTGCTCTCAGCTTCTCGGCCATTACAGCGCTGACACAGTTTGGAAGCTTTAATGACTCAAGCAGTCTTCACCTTGGAAACATATTTAGTTGAGGACTTGATCTTAATAAAGTTATTGCGTCAATTCGATAGAAATTTAAAAAAACGGCTTTGACTACGATTGAAGAGGTATTGGTCAAACTACTCTTACTCGTCTTGCCAATAGTAGACCCGTAACGTCTGCTCACCACGAGCTTTACTAAGGATCGCTCTCACTTTTCGTGATCGTCTCGTACCTTGCTGCACGTGCTATTCTACTGCATTGTTCTCCTTGGATACACAATTGTTTTCGGTGGCACGTCTCGAATGTGGTTGAAACGGATTGGAACTGACATTTGTTCTGCAGACAGGAAACGAAACAACACGGACGTGAGCGCATGACAAATCGTGACGCAGCAGCTTTGATGTTTGCCGAGAAAGTACGGCTACATCTGATGGCTAAGAACACCACTACTTGTTATGGATATATACATGTCGTGTCATTGGCTCGGCACTCGGCTCAGTGCGATACCGAAGACCACCTGAACAAGCCCGTGGTGCCACAACGATCTTGTCGTCTGTAATGCAAAATGAAAGTGTGATACCATACACACGCTGTTAGAAAAAGGCACGGTTGAAGTTACAGTTGAGGAAACGGCTGACGACTTAGGAAGGCGTTCGAGGATCAGTTGAGCGATTGATTGGACAGGTGCGTGGATGGGTGATTGATTGGACAAGAGTGATGGAGAACAAGAACAACTAGTCCATCATGCTAGCACGAAAAAGATAACACTAATAACAATGTCAGAATCCTTTTATCACAGTGCCGCCGACTTCCTCTCTACAGCTTGCATCATGGCAAGCGAACACACGCCTCACAAGGAGAAACGATAGGTCCATTGAATGTTATATTCAAACATTTTGCTACTAAATCGCCTTGTACAGGAAAGATCTCGTGTGTTTAGTGCCTTGCTCGCTACCTACCGTCCTGTCATTCCACGTGATCGGATCTTGATACTTTTAGCCTAGCGTCAGACCATGCAAAGTGTTCAAGACGCGTCCATAAGCTTTGACGTGGCTCTAATTGATCTTTTGGAGTGTTATATGCCGAGAAGCTAGCCAAGCTAGCCTTATCAACGACATCAGGTTATGGGGATCATCCGGAAGTGACGTAAAGCTGAAGTTTGATTATCATGGCGAGTATGTTCTCGAGACTTAAGGCGTTTTCACTAGTGCAAACGGAACCACTTCATCAAAAAAGCATAACTACAAAAAATGGGCCAAGCAAACGTAAAGAAACCACGAGAATAGTCAACAAACTCATTCTATTTAGAGTTGATAGAAGTAGGTGGAATTTAAAAAGAGCATTCGACCGAACGAGTGCGACTACATGTAGTGACTACTTTCTAAGTAGCTGTCAGACGCTGTGTTGGAGGCCAACAATGCTCACATGACAGTTGTCAGCACCAGACAGCATTGTTGCTATGAACGCTATATATGTGAAAGTGTGCTTGCATTTTGGGATGCATGATTTGGCCCAGTATAGTCGAGCAGGACCACATATCCAAGGAAGTAGCGTACTATTAGCCTAAATGGCAAATGCATCACTTAATATGTGTATATAGGCGCTCAGAAGAAAGAATTTAAAATTAGTACTACAGCTGTAGCGTTACATAACATTGTTATGTGCTACAGTCAATAATATTACTTTACTTAATAATATCCGACAATATGATCGTCAAGATAATATTGTCCCTGCATTTCCTTGAAGTTAAACTAAATGACTAATATAGCAGTCAATGCCCCCATTACTGAAGAAGGAACGCGCGCAATGAGGAGAGGGCATGTAGTCGACATACATATTAGTAATAACACATAGATAAAAGAAGACATATAGAAAATTTAGTTTATGGATGTATTTTACTATTTTAATGGGGCACCCTCCGATTTTATACTGTTAGAGTATAATCTCCCTTCACTGACTACCATGTAAGCAGGTAACTTATAAATTCACGTTTAGATGTCAGAGGAACGTAAACGTCTTATTCATTAGGGGTTAATAAAGAGAACTGTATCCAATATTGTTAAGCTATCTTATAAATGTGAATCTGTTTTAACCTTGTCTTACCTATATCAAAGTACTATTATGTACCTCTATCCATTGCGCACGTTCATCGGCCATTACTTAGCGCCCTGGTTGATACAATGACCTATATCAACCAGTTATAGGGCATCTCCAACTACATGGAGATGCATGGACAATATTATAGGTAGGGGTAATATTATCAAATATTATTAGTTATAATATTTTATTATCGACACTTCATAAAACTGTCAATATTATGTAACGGACTCACTTCGTTACATCACCCTCAACCAACAGTCACATTAGTGACTGTTTTATAACTATGGGAAGGAAGCACTTGTTATTTTTTTTATTTCAACTACTGCAACGCAATGACCAAGTCAATGCGTGTCGCTATTAAGCCAGCCAAGAAATCTGCTGTACGCCTATGCAGCCGCTGTTGAGGCTGCGAAGCCTCAACCAGCAGACACCAATATGTCTGCTGTAGTTCAACATCAGCCTGCAACGCCTGTTGTAGGTTCACGTGGCGCTTCGCCACATCAAGATCTTGACCCAGAGTTATTCGTTGACTACTCTGGTGAGTCGGATGACGCATCCGACTCAAAGCCATCTCTTCCACTCCCAGGCTCGCTCCGAGGTGCTGCCTTATGTGTTCCTACTAAAGGGATTGTGGAAAATTATGTGAACAATGTATTGTGAATTGTTTGGGTCTTCTTATAAATCAGACGATTCGCCAATCGAGTCGAGTAAATCTGAATTTGCTAGGGGTATTATTAGTGATGTCGATTTTTTTACTGACATCACTGTACGTGGTGTCGGTACTTCTGTTGACACCACACAGGAGTCTCACGATCGCAATGTATAGCTTCATGGTCCTTTTCGGAATCTGTGGATGCTATCCAAGAACCTGATAGATCGTTGGTCTGGAAAGACCAACGAACGGTTCCCCACACCGTTGTTTGATGCATCAACGCTTCACGGCCTTGACGTCAGTGCGAATAACTTTTTCGCACTGAGAACGACTACTAAATCGTTGTTTTTCTTTAGGTATGGACCACACAAGAAGCATGAGGCTGACGCGTTCCTCAAATATTGGAACGCGTTTATCACCAACGTCTTTAACGTTAGGAAAGAGGCTTGGTTTCAAAGATTTCATGCTAGCCGAAAAAAGTTTATAAACGAAGCTTGTCCGGTGCATGCTATCGTTTGCACCGGTTATCCAGAGAGGCAGGCCTGTTATGCCTCTCTTGGGGCGACTCATGCCCGGGGTGCCTGAGCACCTCATCAACAGCGCCTAAGGAGGCGTACCTCCTTAATGAGCCCTCACATCTCTTCCAAGATGCGCGAAGGGATTGCTACTTTTCAATCCCTTTAAGAGCACGCTGGGCGCTCGTTTTCCGATGTTCCTTCTTCATCATCGGATGTCCCTTGTCGTACTACTTAATAAGGCCAAGAACGTCGGCCATCAGTTGGGCCGAGGATCCCAGCTATCCGCCGAATGCATATATCCACGCCACCGGACGAGATAGCTCGTCCGACGTCCCTTCACCTCGCGGTGATTTAGCAAGCGTTCCACGAACGAGCGCTTCCCACCATGAGAGTCTACCAGCGGATGCGGTGGTGGATGGAAAACCCTTTCCAATTCTTTCGTCGGACTTGTCTGCTGAGTTAGACGGGTTTGCCCGTGTAACTCTTGAGCTCCGTTGTGATAACAGTCACGAACGAGATAAGCGTCGCCGCTTATAGGAAATTGTGCGACAGCTTGGGTTTGACCATGAGAAGTCTCGGGCAGACAATGCTGTCGCACTATTGGAGAATGAACGGCGACTTCATTCTCTAAGTAACGAGCTGGCGACAGCTCGTCAGGAGATCGTCCAATATCATGGGACGATCGCATCTCTACACGACCAGATATCGAATCTGGTTCGTGACAATTAAAATCTAAAGGGGATTCTTGAGAATAATGGCTATCTTTGTCGTTCGAAGGAGCCGCTTACTGAACGTACGGACGAAGACGTCCCACGTAAAACGTAGGATGCGTACGCATCCTGCGTGGTAACTCGATCGTGTATGCGTTGCCTAGGCGGCGCAATACACGAAACGGGCCGATGTACTTGGGCAACAATTTATTGCTGCCCACGTTAGTCACTACATGTTTAGGTAGGTTTACTGTTGACAGTAAAACTAAATCACCTTCAATAAATGTTTGATCATTTGCCCTTCCATTATTGTCTGCGTTTCGCTTTTGCTTATCCACCGCTTCTGCGATGGAGTCTTGCACGAAACGGACTACCGCTTCACGAGTCAACAGGAAATCCTCAGCTGACTCGTTGCTTTTGGCTGCAGTGCATTGTGAGTGCACTGCAGAGATATCGGTTACTAATTCAGCAAGAACATTACTGACCTCACTTGTGATACCTCAAACGATGATGATATCTTCAGCATCGTTATCAGTAAGAGCGTCATCGCTCTTACTTTCTTCTTCTTCACCGAAGTCGAATGGTACGACTTCGGTTACTTTCGCGTCAACCATAACGTCGTCGCGTGATGAGCAAGAGCCAGATTGGTTCTCGCTCGAGAGAGTCCCCCCCCCTTGAATTAGAGTCACCCTCTACTAAGGTGGAACACGTGGATGTCGAAGGCCATTCACGTAGAACGGTGTATGCGTCGTGGAAGCATGCGCTGAGTTGTTGATGGCGAATTCGACCATCGACAAGAACTCACTACAACTCGTAAACGAGTGGACGTACCCTCGACAAATCTCTTCGAGGACGCGATTGGCGCGTTCGGTCTGACCATCGGTTTCTGGATGGTCAGAAGTAGACATTGTGAGCCGTGTTTCAAGTATTTAAACCACGGAACACCAAAACTCAGCCGTAATCGGAGGCGCTTGGAGCTGCCACGTGTAAAGCAAATTCGAGTGGG